TAACAGGATTTGTTTACCCGTGACTGTTATCAGTGATTAGTATTATTACCACAGTTGTAGGACAGGGAGAGAATCTTTTCCGTTTGGCCCAACCTCCCCTCCTAACCGAGAACATGGCTCCCTATGCCAAATTTCACTAGGCTAACATGTTAGCAGATTTCCTCTTTTGAAACGCAGTTTAAAAGAATGTGGAAAGACTGGGCTACCCAAGTTACTGCAGCGGCCTGTGTGCATTCATGTGAGAGCACACGCGTGTGGAGCAGTGTGCGGGAGGCTTCTTGGCCAAGTCGGTGTTGATGTCTCTCTAGGGAGTGTTGGCAATCTGTTCCAATCGTCTTTACAGCTGACCAGACGACCAAATGAACCAGGACAGGGACTGCTGCTGTGGGCCAGTCCAGCCAAGGGAAGCAGGGGCTGTTACAGCAATCACACAGACATTACAGCACACTTAATGCTCCCCTGCACACACCATATTCCATCCTCTGCTTAACTAGACAGTGCGGTCCTAACCAGCCATTGCAAGATTTAAAAATAGTGCTGAAGTGAATGTGAAATGGTTAAAATAAACTAATCATTGGTTAATTAAACAATTTTTTAGATCTAGAAAGTAAAACACTTGAAAGTCATGCCAAGGAGAGCCAGAGAGGGTTGACCTCAGAGACCCAGGCCCGGGCACAGAGTACACAAGTTTTTCATGCATGTTGACCGGCGCTCTGCGGTGCACTGCAGGCGTTACATTGGAGCATCAACACGAGTGCTAGTATTTGAACCTTGCCTCTGCAATTAATTGTTGTTACATTAGTCATGTACTGTGAAATGTAGACTTCCTGCATTTGCATGTTGGATTTTGTTAATTAGTTTCTTCATGTCTTGGTTTCTTCTCCAAGCTGTCAATTTGTAAGGTTTATCAAACTAGCAAGATGTTAATCATTGATGTCAAACATGATCAAAAATAAATCCTCAGTGGTATGCCAGATGGCAGAGCCCCTGTAGAGCAGCCTGGCCTAAAGTTAACAGTATTCACATCCAAAAGTTTGGAGTTTGATGAAGCAATGCCATATTTACTTGCTGCTATGGGATGCTGCTTCATGATTCTGAATAAACCCTGTTATAAATGTTTACTCATCTTAACTTAAAGGTGGGGTAGGTAAGTTTGAGAAACCGGCTCGAGATACACTTTTTGTTATATTCCATGGAATGCTCTTAACATCCCGATAGCAATGAATATCTTAAGTGCTTTGACAACAAATCCATAAAAAAATGTCATCTGTGGAAGCCGTAATACTGTAAAAAGTACGACCAATCATTTTAGCCGGCCCGGCTAAAATAACTGGATGGCCTACCTGCCTGTCAGCCTTCCATCTGTGCACAAACTTATCTCGTGCCCTCATTGGTCATGTGCGCGTTCGTGTGTGTTGGAGGAGGGGCTCTATAAGGAAGTGGCATATTTTCTCCGGTTGTGTATTTTCAAATTCTAGCAATCTCGAGCCGGTTTCTCAAACTTACCTACCCTACCTTTAATTAAGGATCCATAGATATGCATTATTTGAATTTTGATTCTGAAACGTTATAGTTATTCAATATTTAACAAGACATGTTTGCACTGCTTACCTCTTTGATCAAACATGCTCAGTCTGAATGTAATACCTTTAGCTGCCTCTGCACACCGCATGGCTGGATGTGTTAACTGTTGTGACGTTTGATGGGCAGTGACAGATGTCATCTTTCCAGTCATTATAAAAATGAAAGGTCTTCATCTTTCTATTTAGCCATCTATTAATCTAGCTATCTGCTATCTTTAGTCAGGGCAGTAATATTAAATTGCGATGTGGATGCTAGCATGGATCAGGTAGCTGGGCTGATCCTCACTGCAAAACATTCAGACAGATTATACATATTGAAAGTCCCCAGTCTCATATTAAAGTAAAGCAACCCGTTTTTACAGTGTAACTGTATTAACAGAAATTGTTGTAACCTTGAGAATATCACCATGTGAAGAAGTTGCATCTGTTTTTCCTATGTAAATGTTTTGCAACCAGTTTCAGAGGAAGCAGAGAGTCAGTTTGACATAATTAATTCAGTTCACATTTGGCTATTAAAACATTTTTTGCATAGGAAAAAGCCTGTTGCAAATAGTTTTTAGAAAACTTGTGCGTTTTATAGTTTGTCGACACAAAGAAAAACGGTATAGGGTGAAACAGAACCTCTCCTGTGGCCATAGCTTGAGTCAGCACCTTTGTTACATGTAAACTGACCACAGAACCCACGTTCTACAAAAACAGGGTTCAGCTGAACAAATACCCAAACATATTTGTTCAGTATTTCACTTAAATGTGACAACCTATCGTGCTTATATGTGGCATAAAGTGGGAATAGGAGCGGTCCCCTAATGGTCGGTGAGATTTGATGTGTGTGAACAACAAAGGGTAGGCAGCAGGGATTGTGCACTTTTGGATGTTACGCTCTATCAGCAAGATGAGTGTAAAGTCTGCCCGTGTCTGCTGATGTGGGCAAAGAGTTTGCTGCATAGTCAAAATCTGACTGAGTCTGAGGATCCTTTTTTTTTTTTTTTTACTGAGACCATGCCCATAATTACTTGCCCACTTGGCATTGAATCAATCCTCTTTCATGTGTGATGTGTTTATTTAGCTTAGCAGTGAGAATTTTTTTGGGAATGGGGATTTGGTAACACATTGGGATATGTGAAGGGTTTTGGAAAGGGATTGGACAGAATCAAGGGCGTCAGGGATTGGCACATGACCTCATAAAGCAAGACTATAGTGGAGGACTGTGTTTATTTCTGTTTGCTCTGAAACGGAGCACACTAATCAATTCATAGGAATAGATTATTGAATTTCTTTTAACGTTTGGAAAATTAGTTGAGGATAAATGTACCTGAAGTTTGCATATTTACTCATTTGCATATCAAAGATAAATCTTGCGAGTTTAATAAAGAGGCTGTTGTTTTCAAGGTTATTTTCATTTTGAGCTGCGCTTTTCTTTCACCGTCAATAGAAAGAGGTTGTATGAAGGTTATTTCCTTTTTTCTAAAAACTCATAGCTGATATGAGAGCATTTTTTTTTTAGAGGCAAAAGACAGACGATGACAATAACAAAGATATGCATGCCAAACAAAAAAATGTACACACACACACATACACATACACATACACATACACACACACACACACACACTCACGAATCTGTACTAATCGGCCATGGCATTTAACTTGCTTGGTGAATCAGATTATATACTCTATATTTTCAAAATACATTCCTAGTGTTTAATATCACAGCTTGAATGATTAAAGCCATTATCTCCTTGCATTTTTGGATATACCTAAAATTGTCCTGGCTGCTGCTGATGCCTTCTGAATTCTGATCAGGCTTTAAAATCAAGTGTTCCAGTGAGTTCTATTTTTGAATGATTTAAAATGTATTTGCCCTTAAGGCCTAATACTTAACATTTTGATTAATATCTGCCAAGTTTAATGTTAGTATCTTAAACCAACTGGGCCTTATATCCGTGTTCCTGTAGCTAATCTTTACCAATATAATAATTACACCTCTGTTCATGAACTGGAGCATTCATTTTTTGACAATTAATTTAACGTGATTAAAATTTCGAAGGTTCCTCCTTTCATCAAGCGCTGCACAAGCTTCTGCGCACGCTCGAATTCACTAACAGATAGTGCAGCTGCTCCATGGCCATGGGCAGGCAGGCTGCTACATCAACTGCTCCATGGGCAGCAAGAGCAAGATGGCATGTAAGCAAGCATTTTTTATTATTTTTTCAAACATCCTTTGCTAATGCGTAAAATCCATTGCAGTCAAAAGTCGACCAACATTTGTTATATTTTTTTAATGGTTTGTGGATAAAACAAGATCACGGCTGGTCAGGGAATTAAACTTAATGCTGATGGGGAGAAAAATCTACTAATTAGTACTTGATCACACTATTTCTTTAGAGGGTTGTATTTTCTTGTGTGTTGGGGGTGTGGGCGATGTGAGGAGGTGGGCATGTGTGCGTGAGTGTGTTTTGGGACCTTGTCAGCAGACTGAGCCACAAGGGCCCCTGTGGTAATGTGTGTATTAAATGATTAGTGTGTTAGTTAGCATAACGGCCCTTCAGCAGCGTTTAATCACTCTCAGGGGTGGGCGGCCTCACAGGAGGTGGATGGGAGGGGGCAGATGAAAAGGGGGAGGCGGAGTAAAGGGAGAAGAGAGATTTAAACGGGGAGAAGGTTCTGCTGGTTGAATGAGTGAGTGGATGATCTGTAGAGAGTACGAAAAAAGGAGGGGAAAAAAAAGGAGTGAGCGTGACAGGAGGCAAGAATCCAACAGAAACATAATCCAGCAACACTCAGCAGAGAGAGATACAATCTTTACAAGGCCTGAACGTCTTGTTAATGTCAGCACTTGGCCCATCATCTGGAAGTCCCATAAATAGCTATTAATAACAATGCAAAATGGATATGGATAAAGGCGGGCCCTGCTTCACTCTCGACAACACTGATGTTGTTGATAATTGTGCAGTTGTAATGGGGAGGGGTCGGGTTGTCTGGCGCAGACAGTTAATAATTGTTGTGAACTGTGTGTGGAGTAGTAGTAGTCAATTCCTGCAAGCGCTGTCATGCCCGTCACAGTGGTAAAGAGATGACTGACAGGCTGAATGGCTCCAGATACGGCCTGCGCTGGTAGCAGATCAAACTATCGGTGTAGACAGGTTTTTCTTGGCGGGGCATCGAAGTTGTGGTACTGCTCTCGGCCTCTGCTGCTGCGATGAACTTGCCAAGTTCAGCTGAGGCAGGATGGGTAGTCTGCAGCACGCCAGATGGTTCAAGTAGTCTGCTGTCTAGTCAGAAAACTGCTCCTGACTTTTTATTCTCAATGACAACAACAGCGCTGTTTATAACGACTAAGGCAGTAATGGTAAATGTAATAACATTTGCTGCTCTCTTCTTGGCAAACTAAAAAAGGTGTGTGTTTTTGTTTTGCAGAAAGAACTAGACGCCACCGCCACACAGCTTGCCAACAGACAGGACGAGAGTGAACAGTCCAGGAAGAAACTAATCGACCTGAGCCGCGAGTTCAAGAAGAACACACCAGAGGTGAGAAATCAGATATTCACAGACACGCACCAACACACACAGCCATGCATATATCCCACAATTATTTTGACAATCATAGTGTGCCTCGTTGTTTCTCTCTGTCTCTTCTCCTCTTCAGAAGTGTAGACGTTATTATTTACTGAGAAAGCAGGGGAGGAGGAGACGGCGCAGAGATGCGGGCTTGGCTCCCAAAAATAGTCTCCATTAGTTTCCCTGAAATCCTAAAGAGACAAAACAGAAAACCCCTCAGGAGTTTGTATTATCTGACCTAGTTTTTTATGCGTGCAGAAAGTGTGGTCCGTGATGGTGTGTGTGTGTGTGTGTGTGGGGGAGAGAGAGAGAGAGAGAAAGAGAGAGTGAGAGAGAGAGGCAGAGCGGCAGAGCAGGAGGGAGAGAAAGAAAGAGTGTGACAACACTACTAAGTGGGATCAGGAGGGAATTCTGTCCTGTTCCTGTGTTCCCATCACTCCTCCTGGGAATATTTGTTTCATCTCTGTTACCAAGGCAACTCATTTTTAACCACACAGCGAAAACAAAGTATTGTTGTGTTATTATTGGTAATGTCACCATGGTGAATTATTGATGGCAGTATGAATTATGTATGAACGGAGTAGACTGTGGATAGAAAATCGTCAACTCTCGGTGGAGTTGACAGTAGGCCTATTATAGTTACCACAGGGTGAGGATTGTGACGATTGACTTCAGCTTGTAGCCCACCCGGCGTAGAGGAATATACACTAGAGGAAACTGTACCTGCATACAGAAGATGTTAATTTCACTTTGCCCTACACATTCATCTCTAATCTCCTTTTCAAGTTTAACCACATGCCTAGCAACACACAGAGGTGGAGAGAGACACACACACTCACACACACACACACACACACACACACACACACACACACACACACACACACACATACACATACACATACACATACACAGAAAACATGCAGAGAAGCAGAGGCTCGCGCAAAAACACACAGAGGCAGATAGCCTAGATCAGAGAACAGGACACACACATTCATCAGTGTAACAAGGCTGTGATTTAGGAAGGCTCCTCTGGCGTCTGTGTGGCCCCTGGCATCTCCCTGGTATGTGGAGGAGGAATCTGAGCCAGGCCAGACGAGCGACAGGATTCATTACAGGGCTGTAACGGGCTCAATAGGAATCGGCATTAAAACGCCTGCAGTTTGGAGGTGTATTAGCACCAAAGATGCCTACTAAATAGGCTGGTTCATAACGTGTGATGGCCTGATTAAAAATGCCTCAATCGTCCTGTGTGCATTCACAGGGCTGTGTTTTCTGTCGTGTCGTGGCTATGTGCGTGGTTGACCAGCCTATAGAGCGAGCTGTCAGCTCTCTGTGGTCTGCACCAGTCAGTGGAGATCACAGTCACATCAGATCAGACTGCATTAGGCTGAGCGGGAGTCCGTCTCTGATCCATTATTCAACAACCAGGAGACCAGCCCACGTTGACGGTGTCTAGTCTGTTGAGCTGTACTCGACGTGAACTGCACTCATGGTCTGCATAATAACACGCACACACAGGCAGGCTTTTGTAGCATTTTAAAAGTAGTGCAAAGAAATGCAGCGTGAAAACAAAGTTTTCATAATTCATCAGTACCGACACACTGTTGGAATTTCTTTTTAGGCTACATCTTACTGTGCTTCCTAAGTTGCCTGAATTATTCATCCAGTTCTTAATTTCCTTTTACTTAGTCAAGACTCCTATAGCACACTGTTATGAAGGAAAGGGTGGGAATGGTTGTAGCATGTCCCAAAGATTGCTAGCCAGAGGCAGCGGTAGTAAAACAACTTGGTGTGTACTTGTGTGTGTGTGCACGTATGCACACACTCACGTTTGTGTTTAGCTGCAGGGCAGACAGACAGCGAATGGGAGTTCCATACTCCCCGGAGGATTCCTCGGGCTGGCCTGTCTGCTGTCTGCCGGCAGCTCACACACCAGCCATCCATCTCCCGCTGCCTGGCCCCCTCCACTCCCCTACTACACACACACACACACACACACACACACTACACACACGGATTGACCATGGTGTCTGTGTGCATTGTTATGTTATATGGTCATAAATCTTTGGAAGTGGCGGGGGCAGGGGGGAGGAGCGCTGCAGAGTGGACCAACAGGGTTCAGAGCTGGGCTGAGACAGCAGTGGCTCGCCTCTGCATGTTATTTGAATGTGTTTGTTTTTGTGGGTTCTGTGTGTTTTCTTGAGTGTGTGTGTTTGTGCACAAGCTTGTCAAACTGCACTGTTTAGACTACTAAAATGCAAGATAAATGATAACGATAAAAACATTAAATGTCTAAAATCTAATAACATGAGGAATTACATTTAACTGTAAATCAATACAGAAACTTAAAACTAATATGGAATTGTAGCAGCACAGTTATGAGTTATACAAAAATAATAATTATTGCAGGATTATACTGAATTACATTGCACAGAGGTTTCTTTTTTAGCCATAAATATTAACATACGTTTTAAAACGCAATGATCATAACACAGGTCACAAACATGGATACTGCTCACCAAGGTTTGGCCCTGACAAAACAATAGAAACTAAACTTAAAGAAAATAAAAAAATAAAATAAGAACTTAGTTTAAATCGTTAAACTAACCGAAAGGAAACTGAACCCTGAAATGGAAAATTAGAATATAATCTAAATCTAATGCAAATGACAAAACGGACAGCAGTATGGTGGTTTTTTGGGGGGGTGTCGTTTTGTGCGTTTATTGTGTGTGTATGTGAGAGAGAAGGCAGAGCTAGGAGGGGGCCGGGGGTGGAGCTGGGGGCGGGGTGGAGGTCATTATCCCCAGCAGGGGAATATTGAATTGGCCCAGACAAACAGCCACAGCGACCCCTGATGAGGTAACAATGGGGCAGGGTCACAGAGGTCATGACCTGTCCTCAGCCCCAGACAAGCGGCCTGTCTGGACCAACCTGGGATTAGGCTGGTCCCAGACACTGGTCCCAGGTCAGTTTGGGATGCACGCTCTCTGCAGCATCGGTTAGGCTTTTAGGCGGAGGTTTCTAAAAGGCGCAGAGTCTCCCGAGCACACATCTGTCGGTGCCCTACTTCACATCTTCATTAGGCAGCTTTTTGAGTATGTGTGTATCCACAAACTGTGCAAATGAAATGGGCTTGTACAGAATGTCCTATTCTACCACGCTTTTTAACCGTACGCTCCAGTTCAGTTTGTCCGGATGTAGGCTTAGCTAACAGCATGGTGATTTGCATGTTCCCCTGATACATACTCGACTGGCTATCTAATCTGAAACCGCTGACTCGTACTGAAAAGTCATGCAATGGGACTCGCGGGATAAAAAGCATTTGCTTTATAGTAAAAACTTTGTGCGTGGAGACAATTTGCATTAACTGTAGTCCTCATTCACTCCCTGTCTCACACGCACTAGGGGCGCCTCTGGGTGGCCCAGGTGGTGCTGCACCTGTTCTTATGAGAAACGCAGTCCGCCAGAGCACCTCGGGGTGCAAACCTGGCCTCCTCCCTACCCTCATGTTCATCATTCGCTCACGCATCACTCATTATTCATCGGCTGTTGCAAGAACGTCCGCTGGTTGATTTCAATGATTGACCCAATGCGGTCTTCTTCTATATCACTCAGGAGGTTTTCACAGCTTCTGGACATCTCTGCCACATACTCCTGTGTATTATCTGTTGTTAAAGGAGTGAAAATGATCGGTCCATTATCTGCTTTTGGAGAATCGCTAACCTCTTCCTCTCTTTGTCTTTTAGGATTTCCGGAAACAGGTTGCCCCTTTGCTCAAAAGCTTCCAAGGAGAGGTGAGTGTTGAAATTCCTATTGACACACTAGTAGACACACATACTCTAGCACAGCATTTATCTTTGCATGTTATAAAGCCTGTTTGACATTCGTTGAGTGGTCTTGTGCCTTCACTCGGTGCCCTTCTCTCCTTATTCCGCCTTGGTCTTTCCTCTTTAATTGTCATCTCTTCCCTCTCTCCTCTCTTCTCTCTGCCATCTCCTGTTCTTTCTCTTACCACTATCTCATTTCCTCTCTTTCCTCTCCCTCTCTTCTTCGCTCTGCTCTGCTCTTGATTTTCTGTCCTATTCATGAAGTCCTGTAGCCCGAGGGTGTGTTTAAATTGCATCCTGCAACAAAAAAAAAAGGCACCACAAAAACCCCGGCTCTAGCCAGTCACAACTCACCAATGCCATTTCCTCAGACTTTGTTTGTCTGCATGATTCGGTGGGGTTATTTGTTGATCTGGTGATTCAAAAGCCATTTTGGTTCATTGTGGCTCATATATTTACTTTCAATTTAATGTAGCGCCTTAGGTTTCTATGTACCTTGACCTATAAGAGGTGACTCTTGTGTGTGCTATATTATACTCCCACCGTTCGCCTCTATCTCCTCCTCCATCATTTTGGCCTATTTCCATCATGACTCCTCCTGTCTGGCAGCCACGCATTTCCAGTTCACTCCCATATGTGAAAGTCAGAGGGTAGGAGTGGAAGCGGCTGGTTTAGGCTGGGGCGTTCTTTGGGGTTGGAGTGGGTGGACATTAGCTCAACAGTATCTCTTTGCTATAAACACACACACACGGAAACACACATGCACGCAAACAAAATCATCTCAATAGATAGTGACAGGGTTTCTTAGCTACTGGCCATAGAATATTACAGTTTAACACTGGGTTAGTTTCCATATTCTTGTGTTAGAGCAGCAACCACAGCCAGTGGTTATGTAAAAATGCTGTAATTTATAGTGGTCCTACCATGTTCTGCTGATGATCCACAGTCTATTTAGAGAATAGAAACGGCAGCAATATAATTGTGGCTTTGTCAGCTGTTTCCACCATCCTCGTGTTGACACACCTCGACGCTGTGCACACCAGTACACGCTGAGACACATAGTGGGTGGTCGCGGAACTGAGAAAGACATTATCTTATGATTATTGAGATAATACTGTACACCCGCGCCAGTCTCAGAGCAGCCCATCAATCAGTCGACTATTTTGCGCGCTTGCATGCCACAACATGAGCAGCTCTGAGAATGTGTAATTTTAGCCTGGCTTTGTTTGCTTACCCCTCCGTGCTTTGATCAAGGACAAGACAGGCACCAGAAAGCAGAGGGTCTTCCTGTTGAAGTCCCGCAGTAACTCATCCTTAGGCTTTTTACCCTGTGAGCCTGAATCTTTACTTTAGTGAATGTGGAACTCGGACAGAACAATACAAAGTTTTATCCCTGGAACTTGGAGGTCTTGATACCGTGTTTAATCTTTGTCATTGAAAGGTGGATGCCCTCAGGTCACAATTATTACCAATAACAGTACTGTTTCCAAAAGGCCTTAGTCTGGTAAACGGGTTATGTGTGTGTGTGTGTGTATGAGTGTGTGTGTGTATGTCGCATGCTCAGTGTTCCTTGTTGGTCCATCGATCAGATAAGCTTTTCCATTATCCAAGGCTTCAGTCTCTGCTTCCCATAGCCTCCCCTTATCAGACTCCACTGGGGCCACACACAAACATGCACACACATGCACACACACACACTCACACACACTCCCAGGTCAGCCTGATGCCCTTCACACACTATGGGTTAGATAGGGGAGCGAGGCGGTGCTGAGTGATGGTGGCACAAGGTGCTGACGTGTGTACGTATGTGTTTGTGTGTGTGGATGTGTCAGGGATACCTTCTGCAATTGCAAGCACTTCTCATTGGCAACGCACTGATACTGGTGAGGTATCATTTGTGTCACTTCATTTGTTTTGCTTGGTCTGTGTGTGCGTGTGTGTGGGATGGGGGCAGGGAAGCATGTAATAGCAGATGTCATTGGGATTGGTTGAAAGAGCTGCAGTTTGGAACAGCAGGGTTGTATTTGCAAATCCTGGGTGGTCTTCTAATGGCTCTGGTCCTGCAGTTAACCTGCCTCTAACTGTAGGGTGTGTCCTACATTAAATGTCTATTTCCTGCCTCCCATGTTGGGCTATATAAAGCGGCTGTACCACTGACCTTGGCCCAGTCATTGTACAGTCACGCAGCCAGCTTCCTTCATTGCCATCGGCAGATCATTTTGTGAGCGTGTGTTTCTTCTCTATCATGAGATTGTGTTGTGGTGCTCTGATCACATATATGTATATATTTACACGCACACACATTTCGGCACTGATGAACAGGTTTGCCGTTTGTGTGTGAGAGGTATTAGTGCTCAGCATCAGTAATCCCCCATTAGTGGCCTTGCATTTGAGGATCCTGATCGCTCAATGTCACACAGCCCATCAAGAGGGTAAAGTACATGATGCAGCATGATGTGAGAATGACATATATTAGTGTGTGTGTGTGTGTGTGTCAGGGAGGCAGAGAGGGGGAGAGACAGAAGCACTGTATATGCCAGATAGACATGACTGTGTGACACGTGAGAAAGACTGACACTGAAAAAGATTGAGGGAAAGAGAAAAAAACGAGTCAGAGAACATGGAAGTGACAAGAGGGAGCAAGAGGGAGAGACTGAGAGAAATAAGGGGGGGATGGGGGAGGGAGGGGTGCTGGCACCAGCCTACTCAGGGCCAGATGTTTTGCGGCTAAAAAACTAGAGATGAATCAAAGCCATGTGAAGAGATTTATTAGGTTCCCATAGGAGCCCAGGCAGTATTACATGAAGCCCGCTCTGTTTACAGTGGCAGGAACCCCTAAACCACCCATCAACTACACTACTGGCTTGGCTGGGAATGTGAAGACTTTATATTTGGACTTATATAGGCTTTTGTCTTTATTCCTTTTCTCTCAGTGAATGTGCTGGAGGAGTTGGAAGAGAAACACAAGGCTGTTTAGTCTGAGTGCGTGAGCCAGAGTAGTCAGCTGTAGCTCTGCCCAGTACAGTAGCACCCGCTGAATGTCTTTATTTGGCATCTGTTTCCCTCCATTTAGAGTTGATTTCAGATGCGTTTCGCCTACTCTGTCTGCTTCACATATTGAAGTTTGACACAGAGACTGCAATACAACTGGCTGCCTAATGTTTCAGGATTTCATTGACAGAACAGTGAAAAAGTTCCCCCATTTTTTTTTTTTTTTATGAATCACTTATGGATCCAATCTAATGCTGTCCATTTCATAATATTGGTGATGGAATGCATGCCGTGCCCTCTTGTGTTAATGGCTGCATCAGTAATGGATCCACACTGTATTGCTGCTAAGAGCTGACTGAATAATCTGCCCCTGCTGTGGCTGGAAAGACTGAGCCAGCTGTTTAATGATGTCAGCGTGCTGGAGGGGAAACGAACGAACGCACACACACACACACACATACACACACAGAAGGACGGACAGAGTTAGGCACACACACTTGAGGACAGACAGACGCGGACACGAGGCAAACGAAACGCATCCGTCATCAGCTGAACAGCTGAACTGACTTCACGGGAAGGAAACACCAACGCAGCCACCGTCAGGAGAACCGCGATCATATGCAGCATACCGACGCATAGTGAGGAGAGACAGATATGTAGACAAGTCCCACTGTGAAATTAATGGGCCTGCCTTCCAAGTGTATGGATGTGACACTCAGTTGTGAGGAGGTGTAACTAACAATTAACACTTTTTTTCCTTTGTTGTTGCAGATCGATGCCTTGAGTAAAAGAAGTAAAGAAGCAGAGGCCGCCTTCTTGAACGTGTACAAGAAAATAATCGATGTCCCAGGTAAGACTACACTTTATGTCTGTGCTGCGTGTGTCCTTTGTGTCTCTGTGTGTTTGTCTAGACACCTCCTGAGTCCCAAAACGTGATCAAAAGAACCACTTCTTACATGCAGACGGCACCAAATGAGGAAAGGGAAAAGCGCACGCCACCGTACCTCTGGTGCTTCTTCACTGTGCATCCAGGCGTGTGCGACGCCTTAATGTGTCCCCACGAGATCTCATCCCCACTGGTGAAGCCTTTAGAGGGTCTTAACAGAAGGTGCGTCCTGATATGGATGACAAGTGCGCCCACGATTGGCTGGCGTGAAGTGCACACATGAGCAGTCACGTTCAGCGCACTGAGGCCGAGGAGGGACACGCAGCACAGTGAAACAGAACACACACCGCCACAGAGCTACTGGGTGGAGAATTCAGCTGTATGGGAGCCCTGGAGAGGCCGTGTATGTAGAAATGAGAGAGGAGCTGGGTTCATCTATAGCGTAAGGAGGTCATCATATTCCCACATGGATAGACCTACAGTAATATCTTTGGATTGTACTGCTCCCAATAAGTCAGCGCCAGCTCTGACGGGGCTATTCTTAACTTGCAGCGAGACAATGATGTAATGCCTGATGCACACACGCACACAGACACAGACCAGCCTGACTAATGCAGCAGTCTTGAAAGAGGAAACAGTGTGTTTTGTTCTGTCTTCTATCAACTGAGGGCCTGGTTAGTCAGCCCAGTGTGCTCTGCTTTAGATTAAAGGTGTCTGGCGAGAGCGCTCGGCACCAGTGGCCCACAAGTCAAACTGCTTTTAACAGGCTGTAGAGTTGATTTGGAGGGGGGGTGGGCTATGTGAAGGACAAAGGTTTGATAAGAGGGAGAGAAAGTTGATTTTCAAGGGCACCGCAGCAGATAGGAGTCCAAATTCAGTGCATAGAGTTATGTTCCTTAGTGTTTGTTTGTTCTTGTGTGTATTTGATTGAGACTATGCAAGTGTGCACATGATGTGTGTTTGTGACAAGGTGTGTGTGCCCTGCATGGTGTGTCACCTTGACAGCTCAAAATCAGCATGAAATTCCCCAATCGTTCTCCGCTGATCTCTCATTAGCATAGTTAAGATATCTAACTGCGTCAGACAACACACACACACACACACACACACACACACACACACACACACACACACACACACACACACACACACACACACACACACACACACACAGCGCCACACACACAGCCACACACATCCCTTACCCCCAGCTGTAAGTTGTCAGTTCCTGTTATCTATACAACACACACACATAAACACACACGCACACACACACACATAAACACACACGCACACGCGCAAACTGCTCTTTTAGCTGGCATGCTGATGAGCGTCGCCTGCGTCTCTTGGCTGCCTGTCACCAGTCTGCCACCCATGAGCACCAATCAGATGTGATTGGCCTGACTGACAGGGCTCTCTTCATCACACTGACAGTTAACCCTGCTGTGTGTTCACAGAGATGTTGGTGAAATGCCTCGAGAAATGTGTTGTCTTCCGTCTGTCTCGTGTTCCTTTAATCTCTTATTTACCTTTTGCCTTGCCTATTCTGTACGGCTCCACTTTGTCCATCTGTCTGCTCCAATGTTTCTCTTTTTTTCTTGCTTTCAAGCTGCATCATAGTGAACGCTTTCACTGATCATAGCCCAGTAATCTCTGTTGTTAATGTGTCTCATCCGCTGTCTGTGTGTATCTACGAGTATCACTTATCCAGTTCTCCTGCTGTGTCAGCAGTTGACGCATTTCCCCCACATACAAAAACAAAGTTATCTTGCACACCGACAATAGTCACTGTTGATACAATGGTTGATAGTGTATCATTCAATAACCTTTATGGATAAACAGAATCTGGCTGAACTGACTTCGACCTTTCATTGTTGTAGCAGGCCAAATCTCTGTTCTGTTTTTCTCTTTCCAATCAGTGAAGTGCACAAGTGTTTTATAAGTATTTACAGTACAGCATTGCCAATAATGTACTTTATTAAGTCGATATCAGTGTTTGAATATATTTGAAATTAACATTACATTAGCAATGTTAGAATTTATCTATCAAGGTTTGTTAGTAAAGATAGGTCCAGTGTAGGACATTTTGCCGTTGAACATTAGTCGTACTTATTTACAAAAAACAATTGGCAGCTGTGGCATCATGTAGAGTTGTCATCCATCTATCCGACCGGTTGGTAGTTTTAAGTAAGAAAAATATAGCAGAAAGAAACCAGCAAATGTGTCATCTGAATTTACTGCAGTACAGTTTATTTTTTGCATTTCAGATCCCTCTGAAAAGGAATTTAACCACGATAATCCAGTATCAAATGATAATGTCAGTTCTGTAAATAAAGTCAATCCCTGACCTATAGCTGTGTGATGCATTAGTGACGGTAACATATAACTCTCCTTGTCATATTATTGCTAGTATTTGGGATATGTTTTGGTCCTAGCAATAACCAGTCATTCTCCACAGGGAGATCAAAGGTCAGGGTCAGCTGCAGAACAGTTCTCCTGGAGCTGTAGGAGATTCATTGCCTTGCTCAAGGACGCTTCACCAGGGCAAACTCCCGCTCTCACAGGGCCTTGGATGTAGTTATTCCTAGCTCACCAGGCCACCTCTCTGCCCTTGTTTGGGTAGTCTGTTTTGCAGTTTTCAGTGTGTTTAACGCGGTGTGTTTTGTCTCTGCCAGACCCTGTACCTGTGCTGGAGCTGGCTCAGCAGCTGCAGCTGAAGCTCCAGAGGATGCATGACATTGAGACAGAGAACACCAAACTTCGAGAGACACTGGAGGACTACAACAAAGAGTTTGCAGAGGTTAAAAACCAAGGTAAGGACAGGACACATGCAGAGCCACACATTTGGGGATTTTACTGACTCTGAGAGGGGCATGGATGTAGGGCAAACAATTAATCATAGAGGAGCACATATCACCATTCCTTAATTGTACGATACGTATTTGTGTAGTTTGGCAGGTTTTTAATATTCTCTTCTCTTGTATTCTGCGTTTGCTTTACCATTATGGCCAGTGAAAGTGCAGAGTACACTTGTGTGACCAAAACCAAACTAAGATGGTGTAGCAGGCTGCTTCAGTGAGGAGGGAAAACAGCCTTTTGGCTAGTAAAGGCACATTTACACTGATTAATAGATGGGAAGAAAAATATACAGACGAGAAATGAAGGTGAAAAGACGGGATCTGTCCTAAAAATTGAACACATTGTTTAAGGTCATCAGTGTATTGTAGTTGGAAATATAAAAAACAACAAGATGAAATAAAATAAAAATGTTTTAATCAGTTTGGCAATTGACCACCACAAAAGTAAATATTTGTTAAGACATTCAAACTGCTGCTACTCTGAGAACACTCTCAAAAGTAAAAGTAAATAATGATAGAAATGTTCACATGCAAGATAACAGCAAAAATGTGTTTGTTATGCTTGAAGGTAACCTCACCAATCCCAAGGAATGGGATTTTTCTTGATTCCTCTAGATTTAAGACAAATATATATATTTTGGCTTAAGTCACCTTAAAAAAATGGCTGTCAGACGGAAATGTGGAGTGGTGAAAAATATTCTAAATAGATTTAATTGTTTACAGTAATAAGTTAACTTGTTTTTTTAATAATGTGAACCTTTATAGGTGGCTCAAACTGGTTTTGCTGCTGCCAACATCACAGCTTTGCTATTGTTTTGGTACAAATGCCTGCTGGGGTGTGCGTCATACACTGAGTATGAGCAATTACGTCATACAACCCTACTTTAAGAATTTGGAACTATCCCTTTATTATTGAGCTCTAAGTGTGGTGCTACAGAGGTTTAATAATTGCTTCTTGCAAGTTTCTCCACTCAAAGAAACAAAACTCAATATAATATACGAGTGTGGTATCTGATCAGGGCATAGGGCTTTTTGTTTGTGGCGTGGGAGGATAAGGACACTCCGTATATTTTCTTGTTTATTTGGACCTTTGCCAATCACATTTCTGCATTATGTTTGCATGTTAATGAACTGAAATATAAGGTCATGGAAACATATTTAGCCCTTTTTCAAAGATCGAGGGCAAATTTGAACATATTCGAATGCCTTATACATTTTTCAAACACACAAAATGTACAAGGTTTTACATTTTCAAATAGGTTTCAGGGGGAAAGGAACACGAGGCACAGTTTCATGAATAAAAAACGACAGGCTACCTCGGGGTAAAGAAAGACGGAAAAACTGGCAGAGGCAAGAGATGAGTGAGAAGCAGCAATAAAAGTGGTATAATTTTGGTCGAAAAGGAGGAGTGAGCGAGCGAGCAGGCAGTGTTTTGGAATCCCCCTTTCCTCAGCGAGAGTTAATTGGAACAGCTCGATAGCGGCAGGGTTCCATTTTGCCATTGATTTTCCTGTTCCCTCATCCTTTATCCCTCCTTCCCGCCTCAATAGATGGGGGATATTAAAACCCCAAAACACACTGTGGAACTCCCACTCCTGTTAAACGCACATGCAGACCTGCTCGCACACACACAGCGCACACACACAGCGCACACACAGAGTGCAGGGGCCATTGATCCCCGCAACCTAAATGTTTAAAGTTCAGTTAAGCAGTTAAGGGGTAAGAGGGCTCTGAGGGGACTCTCCTCTATTGATTATGTGTCAGAGCAGTGAGACTGGAGTTTAAATCACACACACACACAAACGCACACACACACAAAGTGCTAAGAGCCCTCAGTCAAAGGCAGCAAGCAGCAATGCTCTTTATCATTGTCTCACTCACTTATATCTTTCTCTGTGAAACACACACACACAGACACACACACACGTACACACGTACACGTACACACACGGAGGCCTATTTATTACCCCAGTTATGTGTTAGATTTATTTCAGGCTGCCCCATACAGACCTCAAGCCGTCAGCAAGTTATGGGGTTTCAGCACTAATGCAGTCCTAATGAATACAGCATATCTGCTGCTGGTGATCGGTGAATATCCTATACCAGTCATGGGTGTAAAGATTAGGCCGGAGCCATAGGGGCAAAGGCCTTAGACTGTGCTGACAGAGGAAGAATGTGGGATATGAAAAGCTGTTCCTTCAGCAAAGGTCAAACCCCCCCCTGTCAGAGGGATTATCGTCATCACTGTCATTTATCACATCTAAGAAACAGCTATAGTCTGGTGTCGATATATATTTAGCAAATTGTCTGTTTTTTTAACTCTTCCTCTCTGTACGTTCTGCTTCACCCTCTCCAGAGGTGACCATTAAGGCCTTGAAGGAGAAGATCCGTGAGTACGAGCAGTCTCTGAAGAATCAAGCCGAGAACCTGGCCCAAGAGAAGCAGCTCCAGCTACACAACGACTATGCAGAGAAGGAGAGGTAAAACTGTGTGTGTGTGTGTGTGTGTGTGTGTGTGTGTTACAGCAGTGGTGTTTCAAGTAATAACCTCTGCATTCCTTTTCATTTAAAACCTTTGGGTCATTGTGCCCTTTGAACAGATCTGCTATGATTCCAATCTTTGAAGGATTTAAGAATTCTGGCTTTTTTTCATTTTATGCAGAGCTATTCATGACTTAATTACTTCTTCTCAGCTAATAGTTCTTGGACTTGTTCCTCATGGTTATCGGTTCAATCAAGAAATTGCTGCTTGTTGGCATTGCCTTCCTTTAAAACATGAATGCAGGGATGAAAATACTGAAAAGACGAAGCCAGCATTTTTGTCATGTGGGTGCTTGCCATTGTTGTCTTGATGGGAATCAACACCTCAGACTCCTATTTTCTGTCTTTACCACATTATCTCCAGCCTTTTTGTTCAGAATAATTGCTACCACAAACCTCTATTGTCTCTGAAAATATACACCACTGAATGAAACCCACTAAATGACTATGTAATGATAAAAATATGCTTAGGTGTCATTTAGTTTGAATATAAAGTAATTATTCTGATTTAATAGGTTACTTCCTTTCCAACCCCATTTTCCTGGCATTTTGGAGTCTGTTTTTTTCAGATGCACAGGAAGCCTGTGGCAATAATAAATAAGCTCTCAATTACTGCCAGATAATAAAAAAAACATGAAAAAACAGTGAGTACGGGAATGCTGTATTAACTCTTTGAAAGGCTAGACAGAGTCACAGGCAGGCGGCATCATAATGTTGCTTCACTTATAAACATCCTAGTCACCTTTCCACCATTGCTCAATGAATCAATAATATTATGCTGGCCAGGTCAAAATGAAAACACGAGGTTCAGTTTTTCAAATGCACGTGTAGAATTGACATGTCAACCTTCAATGAAGTTATCTCTGATAGCAATGATGCTCCTATTTGGAATTAAAGGGATATATAAACGTGTGCAGAGTCGAAGAGAAATGATGAGCACTCATACGATTAGCTGGAGCCGCCTCGGGGCTTAAAGAGACGGCACATCTTCACTGAGGGTGAGCAGGAGTTAAAGGTGGTGATGGATGCATTAAAGCTGAACATGTTTCTAAACTAGGAAATGAAGCACTGCCAAAATCAAAAAATCAATAGAAAAGTCAATATGGTGGGTCATAGAGCTCAACAACACATGGTAATGTGCAGTGTTCAGTGTTGCTCACGCGCAGATATAATAATGATATGTTAAGTGTTGTAATACTGGGTGATGGAGAATGATTTCTGAATTACTGCAAACAGAACAGGGTAGTAGAAAGCTCTCTGTCTTTTCAAAGGAAAGTAAAGAGGAATATATTTTCCATATTTTTTCCACTGCATTACTTTATTTGTTTGAACAGGAACATACTTTGTTCTGTGCTGTTTGATAACTTAGCTGCATTTTGGATAACACTTGCAATCCCCTTTTAACAATCTTTACCTGCATATGGGTTATCCAAAAAGTTTGTCATTGTGAAAGTTTTCCTCAAGAAAAAAAGATCACTAGTTTGGATTACTTTCAGTTGCATCATATTCTCATTTAACGTTTCGAGGCATTGCCAACAAATGCTACAGAGTTTTTTTTCTTCCACACTCCCTACAGTCATTAAAACACTTCACAAGAAACTTTCTCAGTGATCCTTTTTTAAAAAGTCTCTGGCCCACTTGCTGCGTGTTTATTAAATGTTCAGTACAGAGCTCATATTTCCCCTCGTGTCAATCATCATGTTTGCCGTGAAGCCATGTTAAGGCTCACTGCTCCTTTCAGACGTGCAGCAGAAGATCAATTGTCCAACTGTATTTCCTTTACGTCAGTGTTTTATAGGCCTCTTCCTGTCTGCAGAGAGCTGACTTCCTGTGTCTGAGAGGGGCAGTAAATGGATGGCACCTCTGATGCATTTTATCCTGCAAGGAGTGAGGGAAGGAGGGAGAGGGAGAGATGAAAGGATGAAGGAGAGGGCTGAAAAATAGAGATGACAGGAGAGACAGATTGGCGGAGAAGGGGGGCATCAAAGAGTGCCATAAAGACTGTCTTTGTGCTAGATTATTGATGTTTTTACACGCAGTGGCAATTTCTCAGCAGAGCCCAACTTTTTATATGCTAAGAATGAATCTATTTTATCCTTGTGGTTTCTGACACCCCCTTCCCCCTCTCTTACTAAACCCTTGCTCTCCCTCACTCTCCCCCTGGGTGCAGTGTGCCCCAGTGGCCAGACATTCCTCCCTAATAGGGCTGCTTAATGAGGAGTGGGTTGTGTTGGGAGGATTTTAGTGGGGAAAACACTTCAGAAATGGTGGGAAAATAGAGAATAGTTGCAGTTGCCACAAAGTGTGAAACCAAGATGTACTGATACAGTACCTCTATCTGTGACTTCTTTCTCCAAACTCTTATTTACTCACCTTCTGTCTGCCTCTGTAGGAAACTCCAGGAGAGCCAGGACTCCATGTCCTCACGGTTGGAAGAGTCCGAGCACAAGGCCCAGTCCCTACAGACAGGTACCAGCCTTACACAGACCTGAGAACTGTTTTTGCCCGCTCAATTAAAATGGCAACCTTATCACTTAATATTAGGTGGAGCTGGCTTTAAAGACTTGCTTTCAACTCTTAGGTATTTTTCACGGAATGTACATGTTTGAAAAAGTTTTGAAGTTAAACACTTAATCTGCTTCATCTGAACCAGGTCGGTGTGGTTTGATCAGATTGACAGTGGCCTAGCAACATGGGCAAATAACACCTTGACGTCAAGACCAAAGCACAAGCTGTACAGAAATCTAAGGAAACATATAAAGATAACAAAAAGTGAGGTGAAAGAAAAATGAATCGGAAGAAGATCTTTTTTCTTTAGACAAAAATGTCTAAATCTAAATTTTGAGAATAAAGTTGATATACTATTTCATAAACCTCAAACTACCAGGGGTATCATATATATTGTACGCTTTTATTTTAAATAACCATAATCTTTATTTACAGAATGCGTAGAAGGAAGCAGTTTTAGAAAATATGTTTTCAGGGTCTTTGAAAAGTATTGTTCCTACTTGGTTATATATTATTTATTTGAAAGTCGACGATTGAAATTCACAACCGACTCTTTTTCCGTCTTTTGCAGCACTTGAAACAACTCAGGCCGAGCTCTTTGATTTGAAGACCAAGTATGACGAGGAATCCACAGCAAAGTACGTGTCCTGGTGATATATGTGTGTGTTTGCTGGTGACTTCTCCCCTCTGGCTCCTCCATATTCTGTTCCTGACATAATCATCCTGTTTAGTGGATCTCCGTGCCTGGAAACTCCCCCTTCTCTCCCCAACAGCTGGATTGTCTCCCACAACGCTCGGCAAAATCCAAATCCCAGCATTACCCAACGCACTGTAAATACTGACAGGAATTGTAATGCGTTCTGCAGCCACAGCAGCACCGAAATAGGGATTTTCTGTGTGTGGTGTAGGCTAAAGCACTCTCTGATTCATCAGGGTCCTGAGGAGGAGGAGGAGAAGCTGACGAGGGTCGCTTTGAGATCTCTGACTAAAAGCCACGCAGGCTTCTAACAAGACCTTTAAGATAAGGTGGCTTCAAGTACGTGAGCTGTAGGCATCTATCATTATCGATCTTATAGTAGTGGCGAGGATGAGAACAGAAGCTTTTCCATGTCAGCACTCCTCACTGTGAAGTGGCACTTTATGACATTCACACTCTTTGTTCCCTCGGGGTTAGTAGCGAGAACCAGAGCCACTCGAGCACCCAAACCAGCATTCAGAAAGTTAAAATACTGACAGAAAAATGAAGCCTTTTATGGTGTTTTATTGGTAATTGGTGTAAAGAACAGATCCTTAAAACATCAACTATTTTTTTTATATCATTTATACTATTTATAGAAATGTTCAAAGGTTCCGTGCGTGCGCCCTGCCTACAGAGAACTACAACTATCAACTTAGCTTTTAAGGTTTTTCCCCCCTCGCCATTTACCCTTCCCCAAACTCACTGTGTCTCTCTCCATTAACAGAGTTGTTAAATTGATTGGCTGTTAAAAACAGATCGATCCCTCTCCTCTCTTCCTCAGGATACTTTTCCCCCTCGTTTCTAGCACACTGTCTTTTTTTCTCCTGCACTGCGAGTGTAAGAGGAAAGGCGACCAGAAGATATTGCATGCAGTATCATGGCACTAATCAATAGGCTCATAGTTTATCATAGAAGCCCCCCCCCCCCCTATTTTTTCATGACTATATATCCTCTACTTTATCTCATTTCTTTACACTTTCTTATTCGCTTTTGCGTCCTTGTCTGTTCCTTTCATGTCAGAAGAAACACATTTTGAAAAGACATATATAGAAGGCCCCATTTGCTTACAGAAGCTAATAAACACATGCCAGCCCACATACACACACACACACATCCTCATACAAATACACACACTCACTCACTCGTGAGCCTGAGGCAGTCAGGGTCCTTGACTATGTGGCGTGCTGTGATCTGAAATTTTAATGCAACGCTTTAAAGCACACACAAACCCTCTCTAACCCTGCACCCTCCCAGTCCTTGGAGTCCTTCCCCCGTTTACTGCTTGGCTGAGCAAATCGCCAGTGTTTGGCTGAACACAACTTTTAACCCTTCGACTGCATATATTTTGGCCCTGCAAAACACAAACTCCATACATATCATGCACTTTTTCCACACATACACACACACTTCTGCTCTAAACTTTCCACTAAGGAGGACATTGCGTGACAAATCCCCCATCCTCCTGCTGCATTCGGGTAATCTGCCTTTTAAAATACACTTACACACACTCAGACACGGACGTACACACACTCAGAGAGAATTTGGTCGATGTTGCAGTGCCCGGAGTGTGTGAGCGGCAGCGGGAGGCGGGCCTGCAGATGTAGCGTAGCCCCCTGTGTGTGTTGGCGCTGTGAGGGTCTGGCTGGCCGCATTTTACCCGTTTAGTCCCTGTTAAAGATTAATGATATATTGATCCCCAGCCCCACAGGATTCCGTGTGTGTGTGTGTGTGTGTGTGTGCATGCTCCTCTATAAGCTTGTGTTGCTTTATCTGTGTCTAAAAGGACTGATAACATTTTGGGGAAAAACATTACATTTCTGATAATTAAGAAAGCAAAGCCTTTTGACTGTTGCCTGTGTCCATCTCAACCACAAACAAACACAAAATGGCGCACAACATGCACACACACACACAGACACACTCTCACAGCTAGCTTCTTTTTAAGCCTCCTTGAAATCCCCAAGGTAACACGCTGTGAAAACGCAATGTGGAGAAAGCTAAGGAAAGAAAAGGAATGGAGTGATGAAAGCTAGAGGGCAAAAAGCGAGTCAGAGGCTGGAGGCTACAGCGAGGAAGAGGGGATAAGAGTGTGATAGAGGAGGGAAATGAAAATCTAAATCAGGGGAATATCCTGCTGGCACTGAGGACAGAGGCCGAGGAAGAGAGGGCGAAAGATGAGAGAGGGGAGGTGGAAAGGGGGAAAAAGAGATGAAAGGAGGAAAAGTGGAGGGCAACGGGAAAGGAACGGGTTGAGGGAGGCAGGCAGAGGGTGAAAAGGAGCGGTTGAGTGAGGAGCAAGCGAGAGAAGATGATAAGAGATGAAAAGGCCTGTCTGCGATAGAGGAAGTACAGTAGGGGCTTAGAGGCTCTGGGCTTGTTTCTGAAGTCCTACAGTGCTCACTGATGTCACTTGTGCAGCCATTGGCTTTCATGGTACAAAAGCGTGTGTGTTGTTTGTCTATGTGATTTTCCAGTGCAGCTGTGCGTCTGCTCTATAGCTCCTCCCTGTGGCTGCTATATTAAGCCGTGTAGGTGTGTTTTAGTGGGTTTAAATCAGATTTTTACCATTAATAAGGACACTCCCTTTACTGTTTAGTGTTTGAATTAATTCCAGCATCAGCTGGCCAAGCACAGTTCCTGCCCTGCGCAGCGACTGACTGACTGTATCAGGATATGGAGAAAATCCCTTCCCTGTGATCTGCTTTGGCCCTCAGCCTCTAGCTTTGCCTTTTATAATTCCCAAATACAGCTAAATCCAAAGGTTATTTAAGAAGACTTTGTGCATCTGTACTTTGATTAAATGATCACATTTGGAGCAGCAGCGGTGGTGTATTTGGGTTGCATTACTACCCATAAACGCTCTCCATTACAAGCTTTTCTGGCTTGTTGGCTCTCTGACCCTACATTTGTGTGTGCGTGAGTGCGAATGAGTGCGCACGTGGGTCCGCACACTATAGCTTAAGACAGGATAAAAGCCGCCGAGGTAGTGTACTATTATGTTGCTTAAATGCATACTAGATCCTTTTAACTGTAAGGGAAATAATAAAAGCGTAGAGTGAAAAGCTCTCCCACCCACATCTGATTCTTTTTGCTGCATTGCCTGTGGCACAATGTTGACCTAATATCAACTGTGTCTGTTTTGTTAAACACATTCAAATCAGTAGTACTCAAGCCTATGGGACATAACGCTGTTTCTCATACTGTGACACACAAATACAAAAGCTGCGTGGGTTATTGGGTTCACTATCAAAAGATTGCAGGGAAATCAAAAGGTCTTAATGGACATGGCGGTGCACATATGCGCTCACATCTTTGAACTCAATGCCACTCTTGTCTTAACATATAATGTCTTGAATAAAAACTCATGCACACACTGTGTCTTTGCACTGCATTCAACACAAACATGTTCATGCATTTTTTTGTTGTAACCTTATACGGCAAAATGTATTCAACATTTATCCTGGAACACACGCTGACTCACAACTCATTAACAGAAAGGGTAATCTTATTGTTTAACCATGGTGCATACCTATACTTTTTGCAAGTCTTGAAGAAATTGACTTTCAAAGTTTGCTCAACATTTCATTCATTGTTAAGTGACAGGGTTTCACGTCACTCATGAAAGAGGGTTATACATTTTTTTTTTCTCAAGTTCAAAAAGAGGTGGTATTATGGGGATGTATTCTTGCTGTGTGACCTCTAGCAAGTGAGAGGTGAACCATGGCCCCCATCCAGACCATTAGTCAGACACAATCACACAGCTTCATAGCAGATTAGTCGGCTGTATTAGGACTTAGAGCTCTATTAATGTAATCCCTCTGTTTTAGTGTAGCCTGGGTTTAGGGGCTTACATGTACACACACACACACACACACACACACACACACACACATACACACACACTCTTAAATACATCGATGCATGCACACATACAAGCTGTTTGGGTTATGGAGTTCACAATCGATGGATTAAGGTGAAATTTAGACAGTAGCTTAATGGACACGGCATCAGCCTCCTAAATGAGTTCTCTCTAAACAATCGCACTCACACGTGATGTGTGCAGAGTGTACTTCCTGGGATTCATCTGTCCATGTATCCATTCTTTCATATTTGTTTTGTATTTGTTACAAGCGCTGTCACTTCCTGTGTTGTAACAGTAAATGTCTTTCTCAGGGCCGATGAGATTGAGATGGTGATGACAGACCTGGAAAGAGCCAATCAGGTAAACTTCATAGCTGAACATTTTTACACAGCATTGTTCAAATTCTCCGTCACACTATCCTTCAATATTTGTATTATTAAAATATAGAAAAATAAACTGAGAGAAATGTGTTTAAATTGATGCATGTACATTTTATATAGAGATTCTAGTGATATTCTATTTTTTTCTTACCGTCAACAAATTTCACAAAAAGACCGAAACCAAGATACTTTGAAAGGTCTTATTTTGCTGATTGCTCTGAGACAAAGAGCTCCATTGTCGTCCAAAAAAACGTTAAAAACACATTAGTAAGCCACAAAGTTGCACTGGGTGACGTGTTCCTGTTTTAAAAGGTTAAACATGGGAACTGCAGTTTTGTTTATTTGTGTAGTCAATCCCACGTACACCATCATGCTGTTGTATACATCCACTAGAACAGCAAGCATGTTTTAATTTGGTTGTTAAAGTAGTCCTCGGCGTAAGCACTATTTACTCCTGTTTGAGTTGCGTTTGTTTGAAACTACATTCTACTTTAAGTATTGATTGATGGACTACACACTGGTGGTTTGGATCTTATTTTAAATCAAATATGTTTCAGAAAACCATCAACATAGAATATCCACAGGCTTATCCGTTAAAACATAAATATCCGTCTCTTCAGAATCTATGAAATGTGGCTTCCATGAACAAATAGTGACTTCTTACTGTGAGGGCTGCTGTTTGTTTTACATGTTTATTACACACCTAGTAAACCCACCCTGCTGAAATAAGCCCCCTGGCGTGCTCTCTGCCCTTGTGTTGTAAACATTCCTGTGGTATCTGTTAATGTCATTGTTGTTAACTTTCATTATTAGCCCAAGAATATGATTTGTGGCTAAAGGGGTAGCATAGGCATGTAATGTTAATATTAGCCTAAAGGTTAGCGCTCCAACTATAATGCCACACACACACTATTCACACTTCTGATTTGAGGTTTACAGAGGATGACAGCATGGCCTCCAGCTCAGTCACAGACTTTTTATACGCTTTTATAAAGAGAAAATGGAAAACAGGATTTCTCTCTTACAGCAAACAGTCCAATTCCCACCCAGTCAATAACAGCTCTCAATATGGTTGCAATTAGGAACAGTGTGGAATCGGCTCCCTGTGACTCTTAATGATGGCAAGTTGGCCGGTGTTGCAGATGATTCCCAACTGGAGCTTGGCGGTTTGGCCATAAACACAAAGCAGCGGGTATCTCTATCCCAGGACTCATTTAATATTTTCAATTAAGGAAAAATCCCCCCTCCTCCATCATCACACACTTACTTTGCGTTCTCTCTGCCCTCCCTCCACTTTGTAGTATGTGTTTGTTTTTGCTGGGATGGGGTGGACTTCCTTTCCATAAAGACACACACAGTAGGCCGTTAGAAGGTCGTGGTCTATTTGAAACGTTTACTCCTTCAATCTGATTCCCTATTTGGTATGCCAAACCCTTGTGCAGTGTAGTCCATTCATCTGTTGACTTTGCCGAGCCTGAAAACAAATGTTGAGCTAATTATTAGTAACGTTTCATCACCAACATCATCCTCCAAAGTACATTAAGTTGCTACACATGATGCTCTCTCCCTGTAAATGTATTAGATTGGTTTTCAATTGCTCTTGCTCATGTGTGTATGCCAAAAAAGAACATTACACAGTAGCTGTTAATTGACCATTAGATCGATAATTTATGACAATGTTTGAACCTCTTGTGGATTTTTCCTAAACTTTCCCTCCTCTCCTCCCAGCGAGCAGAGGCAGCTCAGCGCGACATGGACTCGCTCAGAGAGCAGGTGTCCTTGAGCAGCCAATCACAGCTGGGCAGCCCGGCCAAGGCCGACCCCGACACGGTAACACATCACACTCTGATTTACTGCATGGCTGACAAATAGGTATTGATAGTCTAAAGATCAGCTGGGCCTTTTTTATGCTAGAGGCGATCAACTTATCTTAAAGGTCACACATCGGTGTCATCAATGGTGTATTGATTTGCAAAGGAAAGGTTGCCAGGGTGGCTATAAGTGATTGGTGTATTGATTTACTCATTTATTGGGTCAATTCAACGACTGCTGAGGTGAAGTTTAGTTAGTGACAGACGGCCACACCAAAGTATTTGCTTCATTGATCCTCAATTTTGCGTGGTCGTTATTAATTAACGCATCACAAATATGTATTGATCTAAAGGAAAGACCTTTTGAAACAATAATCAGTACATTGACCCACTTCTGTCTGATGTCTGTAATGATTGATTGAAAGTATCTGAAAGCAGGACTTCATCTGGCTGTGGTATTAGTTTTATTTGGCTCATTTGATTAAATTGCTTTCTATTTGGCTTTATGGAACAGCAGACGGAGGGGGCATCCAACTCAAGTCAGGAGGCGGAGCTACGGGCCAAAGAAAGGGAGACAGCCCAGCTGGTGGAGGACGTCCAGAGACTGCAGGCCAGCCTGACCAAACTCCGAGAGACCACCAGCTCTCAGATCGCACATCTGGAGGAGCAGCTCAGCAGCAAGACTGCCACTCTCAAGGTACAACCAGGAAACACCGCTGCAGCTTTTAGTTTGTCATTAGATTGATTTTAAATAGTCATTTTCTCAAAATACTTTTTCTGTACTACTGTATTTGTGTCTTTATCTAGCTTCGTGGTGTATTCTGACCACACCTGAATCTATATTAAAACTTTTGTTAGCTCTGTTCTGTTATCTAGAGTAAAGACTCTGAAAAGAGTACATGACATATGAATAGGGATGGGTATCGTTTGAAATTGATCGATTCCGGTTCTGCTTATCGATTCCGGTTCTTATCGATTCCCCGTTTCAATTCCAAAATTGTAAAAGAAAGAGGTCAAACGTTTAGATAACAAAAATATCTTTATTCTTTTAAGCTTTAACTGACATTTTTACAAATAAAAAATATACATGCAATACAAATGTATTGCACAATAGCTGTGCTTTATTTTAACTGAGCTATGCCTGTGGCAAGCTATTAACAGGCATTACACTGTGCCTTGTCTTTTTCTTTTTTAGTGTAGTGGAGCCTCACTTTAGAGCGTTTACTGCGATCCATCTTTGGTGTTATGAAGTGACTGAGCTCGTGAACTGTCTATGGGAGGGCGGGGGGGAGCCTCGCTGCGGGGCCACTGTGGACCTCTGTCGCCTGTCAGCGCAACTTACATGATGCCGTTTTAATTCAAAGTTAAGGGCGGTGCCGGCCGTCAGCGTACCGAGCCGGCCGCCAACGGCCCGCTGACGACCGGCCGTTCTGTGATTCTCCAGAACACACAGATGGCCAGTCCGCCCTTACCCTGTATTCCACCGGGTCACCGCGGCGCAGTGGAATACAGGGTCTACCGCGTTTAGGAACCGTTAAGCAGAACCAAAATTGTGTATTTTGTATGGGTACCCGATACCCGGCATTCGTTCTCACCTGGAACCGAGTTTCGGTTCCCAACCCTACATATGAAGGATTACTTATTTTATTAACTATTTAATTCATTTCCATGTCATTTATCTACAGGAATTGGAGGAGAAAGTGCTTAAGCAAGCTGACTATGAGGAGGTGAAGAAGGAGTTGAGGTGAGGAGAACACGCACAGAGGAGTACACACAGACATATATATTGCATTAGTTTGATGTCTTAACAATGTTAAACATGATGTGTGTCTGCCCTTCCATTCTTTCTTATCCTCGAAGAGATACAAATAGAAAAGCTAGCACTGTAGATGTGTTTCTTTAGTAGGAGGTTCATGTGTATTTTCTCTCTCCTCAGCATCCTCAAGTCCATGGAGTTTGGGACATCTGACTCTATGCAGGTAAAGGTTACCTTCACATCATTTTGTAGCAATAGTTATTTAGTTAATGATGAAACAAATCATACAATTTCACTTTGAACCAGGACTCCTCCAAACCTCTGGAGGTTCTGTTGCTGGAGAGGAACCGCAGTCTTCAATCTGAGAGCGCCGCTCTGCGCATCGCCAACACTGAGCTCAGCGGTAAGTCTGCCAACATGTACGGTTATAGTAAGGGCCGGTACATCAACACTGCCCAGTCTGTCTTCCCAAAAACCTTCACGTGGACCAGCACAAAATGCCAACAGAATGGGAGTCCAGTATTTATTGGAGCTTAGATGAGGGTTCAGCTGCAGGTAAGGCTGTGCAGGTACAGCTATAACAAGAGATAGCAGTTTAATGTATACATACTTAATGTATGCCTATAGATTCTGTTTCTCTGAGAATACTTAACCATTTAATAATGTTTTGGGAAATGATTTGCAACATTTGGTCCACAGTAAAATGTGTAATCCTGGTACAGAAATGTCGTTGCTTTAGTCCCTCACATCATGGAGAGGAAGACCGTTTCTGGTATCTTTGAATACCGCAGCAGGAGGTCAGCCTGAACCATAACAAAATTGCAGTACACAAAATCGAGGACACCGAACGTTCGCCCCGACATCGAGAATCTTGCCCTCTGCAACAGTGTTTATACGTTTGAAATGTCATAGCTTTAGGCTTGAATAGTTGAATAGCTTTGAATTGATTAACATTCACAGTAAGGGTTGCTTACTGTCTTACTCAATCATGTCTCAATGGTTATGCATTCGAATATTATTTCTCCCAGCGCTTCCATCAAGATGGGTTCTAGTAGTTAAAAGGCTGAGTAAATTCAGTTTATTTTTATTTTTGTTTTGGTGAATGTATGAATGTAATCAATCTACCCATTGAGGAAAGAGGTGAAGTCAGGCCTAAGAGTCAGCAGGGCTGTGTAGTCACTGTTTTTTTAGTGACATGCATTTTTCGTTTTCTGTTCAGCCATAAACACTGTTTTTCAATTCAGTTGTATTGCTCTGTTTTCACCTGGATGTATTTTTAATGAAAGACTCTGATACTGCATCGACAAGCGGCAACATCGTGGATGAGGACTTGCATGCTGTATTGGCTATCTGTGGATCATTGTACCCTGTCCACTTACTTCCACTTTGCCTGCGAGAGAGTGAGAGAGGGAGCCTGAGCCCTGGGCCAAGCTAATCTGCCTCAGTGGCACAGTGTCAAATGTTTTTGTTTGTCCTTTTTTTTCTTCCAGGCTGTGTCTTACAAGAAAGGTTGAAATCACAAATGCATGGGCACTTTGTCTGGGGGGGTTGGCAAAAAAGGAAAACAAAGTTCACTAATTTGGAAAAGACTTGATTAAGATAACTTTTGTTATTTTTTTTCTCTCTCTTTTGGAACCCCTTTTTTGTTGACCCCCCCATAATGCATGGTGTGTTTGACCTTTCTTGTAGGGTCAGCCGGGCGGAAAGGGACAGAAGAGTCCACAACGAAGGAGGAGACCATGCCCAGCGATCCCTCTTCCTCGCCCCCTTCTCCCCCTCCCTCTCTTCCTTCCTCCTCCCAGTTCCCCCTGTCTCGCACTAAGACGGACACCCTAAACACTGCCACCAACACCAGCAGCGGCGAAGCGCACCCTTTCAGTCCTACGGGCATTGGACAGGATTTCTACTCCCCTGTGTTCCCTCTGGTGGGTGGTAAGATGGCTTTGAACTCCCTGATCCAGCGGCAGCTGCTTCAGACCTTCTACTCCAAAGCCTTGCAGGAGTCGTCTGGGATCCCCAGTGGCGCTCTGCTGTTCACGCCCTTCACTCCAACCCTCGGCTCCATCCCTACCTCCACCCCAGGCTCTGGGTCAGCTGCCATCCCTCTGGCGGCCAGCAGCCCCCAGCCACCTCCAGCCAGCCCAGACATGGCTCCTGTGAATGGGAGCAGCACCGCTGGCAGTGCCCCATCCCCGTCACCCAGCCACTCTGAGGCCACCACGGGAAGTATTTTGGACGGGGAGGACATGGACACGGCTGAGATTGCCCGACAGGTGAAAGAGCAGCTGATCAAGCACAACATTGGCCAGCGAGTGTTTGGCCACTATGTGCTGGGACTGTCCCAAGGATCGGTGAGCGAGATCCTGGCCAGACCAAAGCCGTGGAACAAGCTAACCATCCGGGGGAAGGAGCCTTTCCACAAGATGAGGCAGTTCCTCGCCGATGAGCAAAACATCCTCGCACTGCGCAGCATCCAGGGACGGCAGAGAGGTGAGTCAGTGTATCTTTAATGTGTGTGTGCGCGTGTGATAGTGAGAGTGTGTGTGCGTGTATGTCTTGCATGTGTACAGCCCTGCACAGAGCCATTGATTCGCTTGTCAATATGGACTAGCTTTATATTTTTCTTTTTCTTTCCTAACTCCCATCCTGTGCCACACCTGTATGTTTTCAGTGAGTTCCTAGTCACGCACCGATCCCAAGAGCCTCTCCTAGCTATCGCGGTCAATAAAGAAACCTTTCACACATCAATAGTATTGATCGTGGGAACCAGGAGGAAGGCAAGGGTACTGTTAACTACGGGTAGATTCGATTAGCCTGGGCCTGCTTTTGTTAACGCATCAGGACATTTTTGATTGAAGGTGGTCTCAGTGGTACACACAAATATAACCACCCTAGTACTAGAAAAAAAAGAATGCGTTAAAAATAAGGCTGCAGTTAGTATGTCCCTGTTTAACACTTCTCTTTTAAATTATTTTATCTCTCACTATTTTGCACTACTTTATAATTCCTGATAGAGGTTGAGTTTTGATTCCTACTAGGGGCCACAGATGCTAAAGATCAATGCATTTATGGGACTATAATGTGCACTGGATGGAAGTCCCAACAAAATTCCATATATTTGCACAGGATTATAGGGCACCATATAGTCTAGCGGTAAAAGACGATAAAAACACACCAGAGCTGTAACATAGTGTGTGGTATATTGTTTTTAACAGAGGGCTCAGGCCAGCCCCAGCTTAGCCGAATGTTTCAGGATGTTCCGAAGCGGAGAGCCCTCTCCAATACAGCTTCACACACAGGTCTGTCCCCTTCACAAACAGATTTTAGCACGTTCTGTCTGTGTGGCATGTTCGTGTTGGGGTGAACCGTGTCTATGATGTGTGCGTGTGTGTATGTGAGTTGGCGTTTATTAACTTGTGGGAGGCATGCATATATATATATGTGTGTGCCTTGAAGGTAACCGCACAGTTCCAGTGACTTGCGTCAAAGCAGAAGCCAGCATGTGTATTTAGGGATTTTATTGGTAGTTGTTATTCTGTGGGGAGCATTTACTATACAAACCCTGTAGCACGTGTGCATGTGTGCGCTCCGAAGGGACCAGAGAAAAGATGAGAAACCATTCAGTGTAGTTGCCTTGTAGCTCAGTGGTGGGAATGTTGTTCGTTGTGCTATGGTGTAATTATTCAATGTTCTTATATAGACTGTTATTGATCTCTTCACCTGCTCTGTGCTTGGTAATCTCTGCTTCCAAATCTGACATGAATTCTCACCTCCTCCCATTCCCTCTTCTCTTCCTTCCAGGTAACATTACCGCCCGGGTCCGCACCCCAGAGGCTGGTTCAGATGAGGCTATCAAGTCCATTCTGGAGCAGGCCAAAAGAGAGCTGCAGGTGCAGAAAGCTGGTGAGTCGCAGTTTTCTTCTCCTCTCCAGAGGATTTGAGGCATTGAAGATGATGTATTGTGGCTGTGAGTGTTTCTCGGTGTGACTTATGATGCCCTTTTTTTCTCCTCCCTCCACAGACTTGTCCCATGCTCAGCCTTCATATGCAGGACTGAAAGGTGGGGGCGGCATGGGAGGCATGGGAGGCATGGGAGGCATGGGAGTCATGGGAGGACTGGGAGGCCTGGGAGGCCTGGGAGGACTGGGAGGAGGAGGGGGCCACGGGTCAGATGAGGCTATCCGCTCCATCCTAGAGCAAGCGCGCAGAGAGATGGAGGCCCAACAAACTGCAATGGAGCCCCTCCTCAAAGCGTCATCTTCGTCTTCCTCCTCATTACTATCACAGAGGGACTTCCTAAACTCCTCGCTGACCGCTCCCCTTCCCCCTTACAACCCCCTGGCACTCTCCCTCAAGAAGCCCAGCAGCTCCCTCTTGTCCTCCCCCTCATCCCCGTCTCCCATCCTGGACTTCAGCGTGAAGAGAGAGGGCAGGGGTTCTTCAGGGATGGACCTGTCAGTTGAGGGAGCTCTCAGGCTGGGTCGGAGCTCTGAAGGGCCCGGCCGCTCTGGAAGTTCTGGAGGAGTGGGTTACTGGAGAGAGCAGTGGTGGAGCAACATGCACACGGACCCCCGCAGGGCCGCAGTCAGCCAGACAGGAGAGGACAACCACATGCAGGAGGACTCCAAAGAGGTGAGGCGGGGCGCAGCCAAAGGAAAGGATTGTGTGTGTGCCCTTCTCTGCTTTTACTCTTCAGTGGTTGCATGTCTGAGCCATTCTCTGTCTGCGTGTTTCAGGGAATATTGAGTGACAGTCTGTCTCGACACAAGCCGTGGAACAAGTTGAACCAGAGGAGCAGAGAGCCATACCTCCGCATGCAGCCGTGGCTCAACGGAGACCTGGGGCAAAACGCACACATCCAGCCAGCTCAGAACCAAGGTAAACAAATCACGCACGCACGCACGCACTTACGCACGCACTTACGCACGCACTTACGCACGCACACGCACACGCACACGCACACGCACACACACACACACACCAGCTCATAGACTACATGGATTCACACAACCAGGCTCTTTGGGCTCGAGCATTTCTCTGAAAGCCTGATTAGAGCTAGTGGCTAGTTGTTACTGTCATTCTGTCACTCACACAATCCACCCCCCTTCACCCTCCCTCCTCCTCCCACCATCCCCCCATCCTCAGTGCTGTGGCAGTGTCAGCCAGCAAGCTGCTGGTTTGTCATGTCATAGACAAGTTAGTGTTGCAGCGCCAGATGGCAGCTCTGTGTGTATGTGTGTGTCAGCGCGCGCATTTGCGTGTCTCTCTTTCTCTCTGGGGGTGTAAACAGCAGCTAATGTACACTGACAGCTCCTCATGACTGCTCTCTTCCAGCCTGCTGAGCTGCACAGCAGTACTACACAGACAGAGACAGGGAGATGAAGGAATAGGAGGAAGAAGCCAAAAAAGCTTCAAACTTCAAACTTAAGCACCTTTAATGTTTGCTTAACAGGAATTCAATTAGTTGATTTAGTATAAAGGAAGTTCCTCCCAAACCCAGCAGGGAGAGGAGATGAACATGTGCTACATGGTGACATGTCTTCTAACCTGTGCGACGTTCTCACCCTGTCTGTTCTCCTCAAGCAGAGGGTACTCCCAAGACATCTGCCAGCTGCAGCCCTGCTCCTGAGTCCCCCCTCAGTTCAGCTGAGGAGTCTGTCAACGGTCTTGGAGGGGATCCACTCGCTTCACAGTCCTCCAGTCTCAAACCTGCGTCTGAGGATCCCTCAGGTGGGGAGTCCCAGCCCGGCACCCCGCTGCCTGTCCCCGGTCATTCGGGTCTCAGTATCCAGGAAATGGTTGCCATGTCTGTTGAGCTTGATACTTATGCCATCACCAAAAAGGTTAAGGAGGTGCTGACTGATAATAACCTTGGTAAGAAACACAGGAGGTGCTGTCTTTGCAGTTTAGTTGATAATTCTTTTGCCCTTCCCCTGCATCATGATGAATTATTCAGCCTTAGAATCAGTTCTCTGAAATGACCATTCCATTTTACTCTCTCTCGCCCTAACCAGGCCAGCGTCTGTTTGGGGAGACTATCCTGGGTCTGACTCAGGGTTCTGTCTCAGACCTGCTGGCCAGGCCCAAACCCTGGCACAAGCTCAGCCTGAAAGGCCGAGAGCCATTCGTCCGTATGCAGCTCTGGATCCAGGACCCACACAGTGTGGAGAAACTCATGGACATGAAGCGCCTGGAGAAGAAAGGTGTGTGTGCTAAAAGCTCAATCATGAGAAATATAGAGCAGCATGTCTCCCCAAATAATGAACAAAAGACCGTGACAGAAAAACGTTCATGTTATCTGCTTAAGCAGGCATTTATTTGATAAACAGTCACAAAAAGACAGCAGCCTTTGAATTACACATGCACATCTGCACACACAATATCCTTTGTGCAGGACAGCAGAGCATGTTGTGCAGATCACAGTCATCTTGGTGTGATGTCAGTAACAATCAGGACTGTAGACATCACATACTGTATTAGATGTGACAGCTCGGGGACTGCCGGGGGCCTGCTTACTCACAGTCATCAGCACTCCTCTTCATCATCCTCATCATCATAATAATCATCAGTGTCTATAAGCTTGTATTTTTATCATTTGTTCCTGCATCGCCCACTCTATCACTCCATCATTATTTATTCCCCTCTGTTTGCATGATGCGTTTAAGAATCAGCAAAGCCAAAGGGCCTCACCCCGCTCGCTGCCTCACAGTGACCCCCGATGCTCACTTGAAGCTCTCTCTGTAGAAAAGAGATACGCGTTTTTGAACCAGCCAGCAGGCACAAGCATCAGGGGTCAGTTTAGCCTCCTGATATCCCAGATAAGGCACAAGGGCAAAAAACAAAACTGACCTTACAACAGTGAGTTTGGATTGTGGATGGGTGGGGTTACTCTCCATTCAACTTTGTTTCAGATTACTGACCCCAAAGTAATGTATCTGAATAGCAACAGGGAATAGTCCTGGCTGACAGCACAGCCCAGAGGAAAGACATGGACCTAGTACAGAGTAACCGCATTTGACCTCTCACCCTTGTGGCACAAGCCTGCGAGGCAGCACACAACTTTCAGAGTGGTCTAACCTTGCTCTGAGGGGTCTTTCTCTGCAACACTAATATATCCGGCAGCATATATTGGGGTTGAAAAAATGTCAACCTCATGCAAAGCTGCCATGAGCTGTTCGGTTTTAGCTGCTGGTGCTCCGTGTGAATGGCTCTGCTTGTTCGCTTTAAAATGGATGAGATGCTTTCATTGTTAGTTCCGGAGAAAGACAATAGCACCACCTAGTGGCTGTCATAGAAGATAGAAGAAGAGTGAGAAACCAGGCTGGATAAAGAAAAACGATTGAATGTTTTTGCTTGGAATATTGCTGTAACAGTTATTGATCATATACATGTTAACTAATACACTAAAAAATAATCTCTTGTCCATTCAGCTGATCCATAGTAGTTTTTCTTCACATACAGATTGCTTGTCAATTGTCATTCTAATTCTAAACAACTAGAACTTGGTGATTTAGGCGAGAGCCTCAATCTGCTGCAGATATAATGTAATATTGTCATTCTTCTTGATTATTTATCAAATCATGTATTTTCTGATGCACTGATTTCCACTTCTTGTTTTTTATTTGCTGTTTAGCTTACATGAAGAGGCGGCTAAGCTCCCTGAGTGATAGCCATCCTGTGGACGTGGGTTTAGTGGGGCAAGATTACATGCAGGGCTCCCAGAGCCCGGTTCATCAGCATCTGAAGAAAGCCAGGGTGGTGCTGGGCCCCGAGGAGAAGGAGGCCCTAAAAAGGGCCTACCAGCAGAAGCCCTATCCCTCCCCAAAAACCATTGAGGAGCTGGCCTCCCAGCTCAACCTGAAGACCAGTACTGTCATCAACTGGTTCCATAACTACAGGTGACCTATTGCATTGCCTTACATATACCTATGTGTGTATGTGAATGATGGATCCATATTGTATTGTTAAATAAATGGACATTGTTTAAGGAAGGGCTTTTATGCCTGCCCTGTTTTAATAAACATCACATCAGTGCACTCATGCAGTATTTTAAGATTAGTTAAATGTAAAATGTGTTGCGTCTGACAGATTTAATTTCAGGATTTGGGTAGTGTGACTGACTTCTGTGTCTCTCTTTAGGTCACGCATCCGGCGAGAGCTCTTCATAGAGGAGATCCAGGCCGCTGGAGGGTTAGGGCATGGCAGTGAGGGGGGCTCCCCATCCCTCCGAGGGTCCAAATCAGGAGAGGGGGACAGCTGTGATGGGACAGAATCTGAAGGCACAGTGGAGACACGCCAGGGACTGGGCATGGGCCTGGAGGATCACAGAGGAGCATGCAAAGACGACATGGAGGTGGAGTCTGAGGCAGGGGGATCTAATAACTCCCCTGACCAGCTAGACTGCACCGGGCCAGGCTCCAGCTGTGGTCTGGGGCTCTTCAGCCTCACAGAGGCATCCTCCAGTGGCTCTGCCTCTAGTACTAACATCCCAGCCTCTGGCCCTGCCAGAAACCCCAGGGACAACAATCTGCGCAAGAAGAAAGCAGCCAATCTCAATAACATCATCCACAGGCTGGAGAAGGCTGCTAGCAAAGAGGATCCCTCAGAGTGGGAGTTCTAGCTCCTCCTGAGCATCCTGCACCCCTCTTGTCTCATAACCTCACAACCTCTAACCTTGGACCCCTCCTGCTCTGTTCCAGTTGGAGAGTGGACACAGCCAAAGTCAAGCTCAGCAGCCATTTTTATTACAGAAAAGCTTTCCGAAAAGAGGAAAGAAACAAAGAGCGGTTGGCAAAACCCTTAAAAAGAAGATTTACTGAATACCTAGAAGAACAAAATAAGAGAACCTATGCGTCTCTCCGTTTTTTTTTAAACTGAGTTTTGTTTTTGTACTGAGAAAAGCACTTAGCCGTCCTGCTGGCCTCCGGCCCTGCTGTACCTTCCCCTATCACCAGCCACTGGTGCACCAGACTGGTTCCTCCTGAGCGTGGGTCTGACCCACAGCTGAGGATGAAACCTGGACTCAGAAACACAGGCAAGGCCTGACACAGCAGCTGTCACAGTGATAGACACTGTTAGATGATAGATAGAGACAGGAACTCTCTTACAAGAACTCTCACTTTCTTAAAGGAGATTTTTTCCGCTCTTCTTCTCACCTCCCAAGTGTCCACAAACCTCCCCTCACTCAGTGAGACGCCTCATTTTTCACACTGTAGAGTGACTGTTACAAACCCTTTGCCTTTTTCACTCACTGCGTGTGTGTGTGTGTGCGTTTTTGTATGTTAGGGGTTGCGTCAGTGTGCACCTGTTTGTTTGTTTGTTTGTGTAAACACACCCAAAAATGGTGTGTGTGTGTTCTCTTCTCAATGGCAGCATGTTTTCTTTTTCATCTCACTCCTACACTCTTAAGAGGGTAGTGGAAGGCCTGCCGGCTGAGCTGCCATGGTTACTGATGTAAGAGAGATGAACTTTGACCTGTTGTGTCCCATATCCTATCCTGCTGACAGCCATGTGATGGCCAGAAGGATCTCTAATTCCTCACAAACACACGCACTCATCTGAAGAGGAAGGATGGAAAGAACCCTCTTTTGCCTCCTTAAACCCGTCTTTAAAGGATGAAGGATGATCTCTTTTTTTTGATATTGCAATTTGGTTGCCAATAAGAGATTGCACAGTCTATTGACTCTAAAGAGTACAAAATAGGGAATTTTAGGAAGCATTTTAATTAGTACAAAATAAGAACAGAAAATAAGAGAATAACAAGTTACTGTCTTTAAAAAAAAAAAACCCTGATTAGAATGGAATAATGTTGCGTTTTTAAAATACGATACAATGAATTCACGTAGTACTGTAGCTTTCTGACACATTGATACTTCACGTGTCTCTTGTTGTTTGAGGTCGTGCACGTCACAGCTTTTGCCCAGCACTGGACCTGCTGGGTGTGTGTGTGTCTGCACCACCAACACATTTTCTCTGTTCACAAACACATCTTTTTATAGGCCAAATCAGGAAGAGTGTGTGTGTGTATGTTTGTCTGTGTGAGCGTGTGTCTGTGTGCATTTGTATTTGCTTGCATGTAAGTCAGGGTCGAGGTCAATTCACTCAGAAGTAAAAAATTAAGAAGAAGTTTATCAATAATGACATTTTTGACTGAAATAATGGGTTTTATGTAGAATACTTGATTAATCTGTACTTTCTGGTGTCTGCCGTCAAAGTGAATTCACCCCCACCCTGGTGTGAGTAGTTTCCACTCTCCTCCAGTCTATCCTGTATCCAGGGATGTTTTGCATTGAATTCTACTGTATACACTACAAATTATAAGGCATATCACCTCCTCCCTGTCCCACACAAGCCCTCAGTGCCTGTCAGCCTACTGCCTCCCCTTGTGTGTGTGTGTGTGTGTGTGTGTGTGTGTGTGCGTGTGTATGCGTGGGTGCATGTACACACATGCCTGTCAATACATGCGTGTGCACAAATGTGTGCGATTGAGGAGTGTTCAGTGTTTCCAATGAGTGGGGTCATATTTCTTATCTACTTGCACACACTACTAGTGCACAACTGACACCCTTCTTTAAGCTGTTTGATGCGTTACCATTACATTAATCTTCTCACAAAGTAGTGTAATACTATGATTTACTGTAGCTTGGTTTTATTGCTATTTTGCATTTATAGTTTGGTTTTTATTCTGCTTATTTATAGGTGCTGTATTTTTTTCATTTAATGTCTTATCATTTGAGTTGTCTATTTTTTAAGGGATTATACTGTTCCTGAGGGCAAGTAACATTTTTATTAGACGTATAGACTGCCGGCAGTATTGGTTAATATTTACAAAGATGTACTAGTTCTCGTTTGTTTGTATGTTCATGAATCCTAAAGTTTAGTGTCATTTCAATAGCTTTGAAAAAAATGTGTTTGCTACAGTCCATGCTCCCGTAAGCATTAAGCTTTTACCACAACAGTTATGCTCTTACATTGCTAGCTAGAGAATCAAAGGACATATCAAGATCGGTGAATATATGATAGCATATCTCTTTTCCTGTTTTCTATCCTTCTACAATGTTCATTTTTGTTCGGCTGTTTCTTGGGCAAGCCCGGCACCAACGTCCGGCAGGGCATGCAGCTTTCTTTAGATAGACGTCGCCCACTCTGTAATCACGTTACCATAATTATGCAGGTCCCATTGTTTAGACTTTGTCAAATAGGTCAAATGAAATTACCTAAACTTGAAAACAGAAGTAACTTGAAAGAGGTCATATCTGCCAAATTGAGATTAGAAAAGTATACCAGCTAGCAGGGGTGCTACGTCAGATTGAACAGATAGCCAGCCTATGATTATGCAGAATATATATTGCAGTCTGTAACAAAGCACTTATTAGGATCTTTCTGAAGACTTACTTGGGACAGGGTCTGTAAACACTACGACAGAGTACGAGCCCGGGATCCTGGGAAAATGTTTGCCTTTTTCAAAAAGTGGTTGTGAACCAAGCACAGACTCTTCTCCGCATCCGAACACTAAAATTAAAACATAAGATTGCTGTATCCATGTTTTCTAAATGATAAACTGTAGTCTATTACAGTAGCCCCTATTTCAAACTCCAGATAACTGTGTGACAGAAAGGGCCTTTGTCCTGTACAGTTGTAGATATTATGAGTAAACTCCTGTTATGGTTTCTATCCAAAATGTCCTCAGTCCATCCTTAAGCCTCCCCTTTCCCTGAATGTACATCCAGATGTATTGGCAGCCTATCAAAAGACACTGATAACCTCATTGCACTCTATTAGGATGCATTAGGTCAAATTGGATTTTCCAGTGTATCTAATAATTGCAAATTCCGCAAACATTGGCGCTTCCTGTGGACGACTGATGTGAAACATCTGTCTTCTGCAGAATACTGAAGGCTTCTTGCCTTCTGTTGGACTGCTCGGATTGGACAACCACAGTATGTTTAATTGTGATGAATAGCTACTGTAAAGTTTATAAGCACTTAACCCATTTGCCATTTTATAGCCAGATCCATCAACTCACCCAATCCATGTGAGATCATCAGATTTGTGCCTTTAACTGCCAAGCAGGGCACCAAACTAGTGATGTCATTAGATGTAGATGATTTCACCTGATTTGTTCATAATATAGCCCACATCTTGACCCAAATTAATTTCCCATGCACTTCATAAATATTGGTACTTTTGAAGTTGACTTGTCTCAGCTCTCTGGAGAGGGTTGTATATAATTCCTGGAGTGTAGTGAAAGAGTAAAAGGAGAACAGCGAGCTTGTGTATTCTTATGACTGACTTGCAGACATGTTTCCGTCCGGGTCTTATTTCAGACAGTTGTTTTCCCACAATGCATTTCTTACGTTGTACATAACCTGATCTAGCAGCGAAAGGCCAGAGCATTGAATGAAGGAGGAAGCATGCAGAAAACAGCATACACTGTAATAACACTGAATTTATTCATAGGGCATTTTGTATTTTTCTGTTTGTGTCAGGTTTGCTGTGACATTAATAGTGGCACTACAGGTATTGATTATGACGTGTGCCAATTCAAATGGTTATTTGGAAAAGAGACGTGTAAATACAGTCAATCAAGTAGCTATTGATTCACTTTTGTCACAGTATGCTTTTGTTTGAAGGCAGGAGGAGAGAAGGGACGATTCAGGACTTTTCCATGATCCACAGATATTTTTCTACAAATTTAAATCAGATGATTCTATACACTGTTGAATAACATTGTAAAGGTGTAACAGATGCTGTATATCATATCATGTTTTCTGAAGTCGTAAAGCTTTACTGTATGATCTGTTGAAGTAGTGGTTATTCATTTTGACATATTAGTTGTAATGGAAGCCCAAACAGCAGCACTGGTCACCATATTCAGGAAAAAAAAAGAAAGAAAGAAAAACCTCAGATGTTTTTTGTAATACTTTTAGAATATATCTTATGAAGTGGGTTTTGTAAGGAAACACTTTCGGAATCAGTGGTGCTGTATGCATAGCACACTCAGTAATACATACACACATAATACAGCACAATACACTCATCCTTTAAACCCCCCCCCCCCACCCCCCCCCCCCCCCCCCCCCCCCCCCCCACTTTACTTGCGTGCTTTTTTTATGTTATTTCGCTCACCTCTCACATTGGCTAATTTTTAAGTCTTAAACCATTTCCTCTTATCTCATCAGTTATTTCATGCTTAACTGTACAGTTTTTACCACCCAGAGACCGACTCCGGAGTGCTAAACATTTCAGCGACTGCTTGCAAGACTTAAAAGAGGAAGCATAAAGCCAAATAGTGAAGTTAGTTATCCACCACTGTTGAAAGGTTGCTGACAGTTTTCTGAATGTTGCTACCTTGTGTCGTGGCTTCAGTTCACCCATAGCTAAACCACAGTGTAGTCTGACAACCAAACGACCTGGGGAGATCTTCTTCCCCCTCCTTTTGGAAAGCTTTAAGATGCTTGTTGAGGCTTTAGCAATTCAGAGTGTTTTTAGATGATCTTTCCAACCTTTGTCATCAACAATGTGGAAGTAATAATTCTCATAACTTCTCCCACTGCTTATTTTGTGAGTGTGTGTGTGTGTGTGTGCGCGTACATGTGTGTTGTAGTACAAAAGGCTGCATGACTGTAAAGGGATGGTTAAGATGTTTTTTGAAAGATGTTTCCCTAGCACTTCTGTCACTCCTGAGATGCTTTTTTCTCCTTGTTGGGGTCTCCTTCCCTTTTGTTTTTCCTCATGTATCATTGTTTCTTTATCTTTCTATTTACTAAACGTATCATGTTGTTTGTTCTCAGCACTGTAAAACAGTCCCTTCTACAACATTGAAAAGCAATATCACTGTATGAAACGTTCACAATGTATTTGTTATGATTGACATTTGATTCATCATCATCATTATTATTCACATGCACCCTAGGTGTGATAATTGAAGTAAATCTCTTTTATACAAATACTAAAAGTGTACTGTGGTAGTTTTTTTTTTCTTTGCGAAATGTCTTGTTGGAAATGTCTTTGTTGAACCTGTGCATGGTTAATAAGTATTCTCAGAGAAAGAGATCACTTAGAAAGTCAGGGAAGAAAGTAGGTGTAGCGGGTTTCAGTCATGTTGGGATGTTGGACAGCTTCTGCCATTTACAGCCACCACAGGTGAGTTATTTTGGGAACTAATCAAATCTAAAGCAAACGGGAATAAAGCCATATTCAAATTATATGTATTTCTCCTCTACCCCCTCACAGGCCGGTATGCAGAGCTGCAGGTGGAGTTTTCGGCTGCGGTGCGCACCAGTGCGGAGCAGAAGGAGCTGATCCTGAAGCTGGAGCACGACCTGAGCACCATCCAGGACATGTCCACCCTGCAGCGTCCCGACGCCGACGGCTCCGAGGTCAGCAACATGGAGAACATCCCGGACCCCGTCAAAGAGGCCTCTGCAATGTTTAGTGGTATGTCCCCGGGTTAAAAAAAGCTGTTTAAAGGACTGTACAAAAATGATTGGGTCCCAGTTGATTTGAACCCTCCCTGTGGCTTAATACGACAATGTGATGTAGCAGTTTGCTATTGACACAGTTAAGTGTATACATCATTTTAATCGACATTCCACTTTATTTAAATGCAAACCTTTCATTTAAAACTTAAAGGTTCAGATAGAAAAGTCGTCTTTCCCCAAGAAGCCAATATACTGTATCCATGAAGCAAATTCATAAGAAAGGTAATCTAAAATGACTTAAGCTAAAACATTTTTACTTGAGTTCTATTGTGTCTAAAGGAGTCTTTACATCAACTTTGTAGTAACTATTGACATGCTTGATCCGGAGAATTATTATATTATATAATCCCTAAAACCATTCCACACTTTCCCCACAAATGTAGACTACTCTATACAAATCTAAATTATTACTTAAAGGTGGGGTAGGTAATTTTGGAGAAACCGGCTCGAGATCGCTAGAATTTGAAAATACACAACCGGAGAAAATCTGCCACTTCCTTACAGAGCCCCTCCTCCAACACACACGAACGCGCACATGACCAATGAGGGCACGAGATAAGTTTGTGCACAGATGGAAGGCTGACAGGCAGGTAGGCCATCCAGTTATTTTAGCCGGGCTGGCTAAAATGATTGGTCGTGCTTTTTACAGTACTACGGCTTCCACCGATGACATTTTTTTATGGATTTTTTGTCAAAACACTTAACATCCCGATAGCAATGAATATCTTAAGAGCATTCCATGGAATATAACAAAAAGTGTATCTCGAGCCGGTTTCTCAAACTTACCTACCCCACCTTTAATAACACACTATTAAGGTTATCGCTGGTAGTTATTATTTAAGGACAGTGTGGATGGGGTTTGATGAAGTAAAGATCCCCAGATCACTTCCTCATTGAAAATGCTTTGTTCTTAAAGAGAGGAGACCCCGTGCATGTGGTGTCAGTCAGTCTGACTGAAACAGGAAAACTTCTCTAACTGTAATGTTTAACCTGCTGAGCCCCTGCTGAAGGTTTGTCAGAGTTAATACTAAAGACTAGCCTGACCAGAGCGATTTAATAGTTACATTTTCTAGATATAGTTGATCATATAACATGCCCTTATGACCATTATGACTTATGGCAATCAGGTAGGGATTAGAATTTCCCCTTCCGGCTTTAGTAAAGTATGCATTATTTTTGTTATTATATAAGAAGTGTATTTTCCCCTCCAGGTGCGGGCCCCCACCCTGAGCTGCCTCAGGGCCAGATGGACTCTCTGCTCTCCATCATCTCCAGCCAAAGGGAGAGGTTTCGCTCCCGCAATCAGGAGCTCGAAGCTGTGAGTCATGATCACACACACACACACACACACACACACACACACGCACACACACTTCCTGTATTCCTGTGTTTTTTTTTCTGGGAAAGACTAATTTCTCATCTATTTGTTTTGTCCCCTGCAGGAGAGTCGCTCCGTGCAGCAGACCATGCAGGCGCTGCAGAGCGAGCTGGACAGCCTGAGAGCAGATAACATCAAACTCTACGAGAAAATCAAGTTCCTGCAGAGCTACCCTGGCAGAGTGCGTCTGTGTGTGTGTGTGTCTGTGTCTGTGTGTATCTGTGCATGTGCGTGAATGAATGATTGCACTCTACATGGGTGATGTTTTGTTGATTTGTCTAAAATATTTAGCAGGAATATTAAAGTCAGTGTGTGTGTGTGTTCTCTGTGCTGCAGGCTGGAGGTAGTGACGACACCGTGATGCGCTACTCCTCCCAGTACGAGGAGAGACTGGATCCGTTTGCTTCTTTCAGCAAGAAGGTACAAGACACACACCTTTTTAATATTTACACAAAAACACTCTTCCCTTAAACAGTCTGAAACCAACTGCCATATGTTGCATCATTTAGTTTTTTACTGTCATAGCTTCTTTCTCTGATATCTGACAACTGACCAAAAATATTTAAGGCCTGATGAAAGTTGTTATTTGCTGATTTTGTGGTTCAACATTCATCAAAACAATAAAAATTATTTTTGAGAATAAGAGCCAAGAGCGAAACACAACATGTTGTGTCCTGAGTAAGGGGATGATTCAAAAAGCTCTTGATTGATTCTTCAAACCAGGAAATGAGATACCGTTTTGCACTTCCTGTTGTTGTCTTGTAGAAAATGTATTGACATAAGGTCTGTGGTTAACACAAGCTTAAGAGATTTTCACGTTTTGTTCTACTACATATTCAGTAAATACCACTAAGATTATTTTAAAGAGTTTTTATTTTTTTACTTTTAGCCAATTGCATTTATGCTTCAAAATCTATAAAAGTCGTGTTCAGTTCAGGTTATCTTCAATGTTGAGCTCGACTCTTCTGGGTTTCAGGAGCGTCAGCGCAGATACCTGAGCCTCAGCCCCTGGGATAAAGCAACTCTGAGCCTTGTAAGCCACGCACACGCACACGCACACACACACACACACACACACACACACACACACACACACACACACACACTCTTGATGTGTTTGGTGCAGTCTCTTCACTAATCCTCTTGTTTTTGTCTCTCAGGGTCGTGTGATTCTCTCCAACAAGATGGCCAGGACCATTGCTTTCTTCTACACCTTGTTCCTGCATTGTCTGGTCTTCCTGGTGGGTCTCCTTTCAACGCAGAGGAGCTCCTGAACCTTAATGAAACAGATCCTTTCTTTTTATATTCAACATTTCTTTAAAAGTTCAAACAAGGCGACCCAAACAGACAAGGACACATTCACTTAAAAGGATATCTATCAGAAATAGACTCCTATATACACATGTAAAAAAACTAAAAGGGAGAAAGGTAGGTTACAGACAGCCTATTTAGGGTTAACAGCAGTTCATTAGTCGCAATGTATTACTTAATAATTGATCTCTAAACAGATTGCCAAGCAGGAAATGTTTAGCTTTATTATGGCATATATCAATCCAGTTTTTCAATAGAGAGCCTCTAATAAGCAGCCAATAGAGCCAAGGTTGCAGCCCATTTGTAATATATGTGTATGTGTGCTGTTCCTCGTACATCAGGGAAACATCCTTACTGTTATTTATTTATTTTCAGGTGCTGTACAAGACAGCCTGGAGCGAGAGTATCGGCAGAGACTGCTCCGCTTTCTGTGCTAAGAAGTGAGTGTGTTCACCTCAGGGTTTTAACATCTCTAACATCTCAACACGTATGATTTGATCATAGTAACAAATACTTGATGTAATCTTTCCCTTTTTTTTGTATTCCTCTCCCAGGTACTCTGACCACCTCCACCAATTCCATGAGAACGACCAAAACCTTTGAGCTGGTCCCACATTCAGCAGCATGCATGTCCTGCTCAGAAGAGGTCCCTCTTTGAGCTCCTCATGAAGACGGGGCTTCACTTTTCTTCTTGCAATAGCTTTTAATATCCACAAGGGGGCGGTTTAAGGCTGCAAATCCGACGGTTGATTCAAAAACAGATTCTTGTTTTTGTTTCTCTAAATATAATCATAAGGATAATATATATAAGTCTAAAACTATAATCCTTGGTTTCCTCTTATACTCTTAACATAATAAGGAAAGCAAATAATTGATCATGTGATATAATCTGTGCCGTTGAAGCACACATGAAATGAAGTTAATATTGTGTGTATCTTCCCGTACAGAAGGGACCGGAGTACAAGGATTATTTTGTTTTGTGATTTATCCTGGGTTTAGCTGGAATTTAGAATAATTAGAGAAATGTAATCATTAGAAATAAAGTTAATATAAGATTAAAGGTAATATGGTTGAGGTTATAATTAGATTGGGGAGTGTTATGTATAAGTATAAGGAGCATTAATGAGGAGGTGGTCGTTTTAGGAGGTTATGGCAATGGAACAATATATACAGTAGTTATTCCTAGGGCTCAATCTTCTGAGATGTGTCCTACTTGAGTTTGACTAATATCATTGATTCATTCGTAAAATTTGTTTTGAATGTTTAAATCATTTAATTGTTACTGTTAGATATGAAGAAATTAAGAGATGAGGGTGAGGGGCAGCGATACACTAATGGTTACTAACTAAAATAGCTTCCTCGTATTATTCTCTTGAAGGATCACTGTGCATGCTTACCTGCTTACTTCTTTCTCTTCTCCCTGACATCGCAGATATATTCCAAATAAAGACTATGCAGCATCGTTCCTGGTATCATTTTAATTTAAAATGTCTTGTGAGCACTGTGTTGTAGTGAAGCTGGCAACATATTGATATGTTTGTTTTATAATGTGTGCATGACATAGAATATATTAATTAGAATAGTTATATTAGTCCCACACAGAGGAAATGTACATCGTTACAGCAGAATTTAAGTGGCAGGCACACATTAATAAAATAAACATTAAATGGGTAACTAATGGAGAGTAATGAAGTAGCTGCAAGATGAAGGTAAGTATTGCAGTATTGCACATTTTTCTTTTCATGTATTATTACACCATTTGGTGTAAAGTTGAAGACAGTTATA